GATCGGGACGGTATCCACGGGCATCAACTGTGAATCCTAGAAGCTCCAACTCACCTATACCAAATGCACATTTGGACGGCTTGATAGCCACGTTCCTGGCGGCAAATCTTTCCAGTAGCTGCGTCAGACGGGCATCGTGTTCTTTCTTGATAAGGCCGAAAATGAGAACGTCATCGTGATATGCAAGCACACCGTCGAGTCCTTGATTACACTGTCTATTACTGATTGAAATAAGCCAGATGACACATGCAATCCGAATGGGTGAAAATTGTACTGGTACATTTCCCACGGCGTGTTGATTGTTGTCAGGTAGCGAGATTCGACATGGAGTGAAATCTGTAGATATGCGTCCGCCAAATCGATCTTGGAAAAATACTGCACCCATGCAAAACTTCATAAAATCCTCTGGTTCCATGGTCGCTGCACCTCTCCTCAATCTGGATTCAACGTCAGTCGATAGTCTCCACAGATCCGTGGTGTCCTACTTTTTATTACCACGACGATCGGGTTCGCCACCATCCTGCTTCATTTTTTGTAATGCTTCCAGGACACCTTCCCGTTGGCCGTATTGGAGGACGCGTCCTTTTAGGAAAATAGGTTCACCGTCCACTTCCAACAATACCGACGGTACCTTCATGCCATCAACGTTACCGGAACTTTGTACAATCAAATGTTGAAGATGTGAGGTGATTGTCATATCGTTGTCGGTATGAAGTGTGATTCACCTTGGTAATAGCCGCATCGATCGCTGAATCAGAATAAACGGACTGTTGGCTGATACCAGGAATAGGATCGGGATTGACACGCCGGATTCAGATTGAACGCACAACATCGTTTCGCCAAGTAGTTGCAACTGACGGCACTGAAGTCGGGGCTAGAATAGCATTAGGACAAATCGCAGTGAGTGATGATTTCGGTAGGATAGATTCATCGCTTCCTGTGTTCATGATGAATCGATGCTTCACGCCACACTCGAACCTCAGTTGGGCGAACACGAACTGGCCGTTGGATTCAGTGGTCTGCAGCGTGTAGATTGGGCTTCAGTTCTCATCTGCCGTTGAAATATCCGAATCAACGAGGTTGCACTTGGGCATTAGGCACGTCTAGCGGATATAGCCCATCTTACCGCACGCATGGCAAGTTACATTAAGGAACCGACAAATCGAACGGTCATGATATTCACCACATGAAAAGCAGAGGTTGGTCACAGCCTTCGGTTGTGTTCGGTTTGAACTGGGATACTTGAGGAACCTGGGGTGGATTATGAACATTGGGTGCGTCACGTAATGGTTTCGTTGATTGTTGATGGAATAACACAGGAGTAGCCGCATTTGTGGCAGCACACAAATCATCACAGGTTTTTCGAGCCTCAGCAAACATGATATCTTTCTTTTCCAGCATCTTACGTTGTAATGAGATGTTGCGGATTCCAGCATTGAGACGGTCACAAGGTTGTTCTTTCAATCGGTCACCATAGTTGCATTTTGACGCCTGTTTGTTCAACTGGAGAATGAATTCACGGCACGGCATGTTGGCAGTCCTGATCATTGAGTTAAAGTTGGTCTGTTCAGTGGCCTGAAAATCCACTGAGAGAATGTGGTTCAGCAATAGGGATTTAAACTCCTTGAACGGCAAATTAGCAGGAACATTGGGAACCGCTAGATTCGTCACCAGGGAATACAGCTCTCGGCCGCTCAAAGTCAAAAATAGGATCGACTGATTTTGCACTCCTCCTTTCCGGATGCTGCACCATAATTCGAAACGTTCTACCCATTCTTCGATTTCCGATGGGCTCCCATGGAGGTTCAGATTTTCAGTGACAGGAATCTCCATTGCACGGCGCAAAATTGTGATAATCAGAATAGTATTGAATATCGGCATAAGCGAACCCGTACAGTACTACTCAGAACTGGATTGGCTCCAATCCGAACTGTGGACAGCAATGAAATACATGAGGAACTGGTAGGAACGAATGCTTCTGTTTACTTCTAGAATTGGAGCATTTGTTATATAACATAATATCATTGGTTGAATAACCGTCGTCCGAGCTGTGAGTGGATGACATTAAGCTGCATCTGGTCGTGCTTGGATTGCGGTCACGTATATCTGGATCATCACAGCTTTCCTCACCAAGATGGCCAATAGAGTTCGCGTGGGAGGAGCTCTGTCCAAAGTTGGCGGCATATCCAGTGGAGTGCCTTACGGCTGAAGACCCGATGCTTTTCTGCTGTTTACAAACGACTTGGTCCAAGACGTAAGTGTTCCTGTTCTCATATTCGCGGATGACGGCAAATTAATGTTATGGACCAATGGATCAACTAGAAGTTGAACAGAACTGGAACTTGGAGCTAAACGCTACCAAGTGTCATGTTCTCAACACCATAGGGCTTCCGGTTCGAGTGGCTACAACAAGGAAGGTGACGGTCTTCACTCAACTAGACCGCATTTTGGATCTTGGGATTCCCCTTCTCGTGGACTTCAAGCCCAGTGATCGATTCCTGGCAAGCCAAACAAAAAGCGAAGGTACAAATGTGCCACCTAAAGTCGCTCTGTTGTCAAGGAAGGAAGAGGTTTCTGTGCCTATATGTTAGGCCGCATTTAGAATACTGCATGCAGGCTAGAGCGCCTTACCTAGGGAGCGATATCAATTGCATTGAAAGGGTGCAACGTTTAGCAAGAATGAGGGGTAATTCGTACAAGGAGAGGTTGGAAACTCCAGGGCTTTTCTCCATAGTAAGGAGATGCCTGGGAGGTAATCTCATTGCGAGCTTCAAACTGATGAAGGGGCTAACAGGACTAGAGGTGGACAGCCGAGCACCGCTCGAGCCGACAAGGGGCATCATTCGAAGCTAATGAAGCACAGGAGCCGACTCAGCCTCAGATAAAACTGCACGAGTGGATCGATACATGATTAGAACCAACTACCATCTTCAATGCTGGAATGAAGGAAAACCGATAAGTTCAAAAGTCAACTAGATGGAGTCTACTTCTGTCTCTTTTCAGAGATCTTCCAGGTTACCCACTGTTGACAGTAGGTGTGGTATGCTTCCTTTTTTTGGAATAACCTCCCATTATAGATACGAACTCGAAAAGCAAGGCTGTCCTCGACGAAGAAGTCACCTGTGGTCCAGTCCAGTCTTCACAGGACGAATAATGGCTCTTGCCAATCGAGCGTCCAGATTATTGTGTTGTCGGCGGGTGTTCTTGGCTCCCAACACTGCGTTTTCTGAGTTTCTTTTAGCCAGGTTCTCTCAAGCGGGCTGGAAAAGAGAAAACAGAAGAGATGTCTTCTCGNGCTTTGCCGCAAGTCCTGTGTCCTGGCCTGACCTGTCCAGCTAGCAACCCTTTGCTCCAAGCTATCCGGAGTTATAGATGTGTTGTGGAAAAGAAAGATGATCTAAAAGTGGTGATGCTGGATGTTGAGAAATTTCAGTAAAATGCGTGATGAACAGTGAATGAAAACAGATTTGTGGGAGTTGGAGAAATCGAAGTTAAGTACCTTAGGATAGAACAACTTGATATAACGAGGGGGGACGGGATGGACAAGCTATCAGCGACCTTGGGCCCGGTTTCAGATACAATCGGGGAACGTTGATGGCCGAGAGGCATCCAGTTCCAGGTTGAACTCGGCAATGGTTTTCGGCGCCACTACCTTCTGCAACAGTTTGTTCCATGTATTTGCTACCCAGTACGAAAAAAGGCGACTCTGAGGTGTTTCGGTGCCCGGGGCTTTTCTAGCTTCATGGTGTGCCTCCTTCTGTTGGGGAAGTCGTTCCGCTGGAGGAGGTGGGAGATTCCATGAGATAGAACAGTCAAGATACGGAGAGTTTCAAATAGATCCCCGTTCAGTCCAGTCCAGTCCAGTCCAGTCTTCACAGGACGAATAATGGCCCTTGCCAATCAAGCGT